CCGCCGCCGCCGCCGCCACCACTACTATAATACCACGACGGCGACACCAGCAGCAGTCGCCAGTCGGCAGTCACGCACCGCAACAGGAGCGGCGCGCACCGACGAGACAGACACGCGGCAGTCAGCACTGCGGCCGTCGCACGGGATTCTGAAACATCTGAGTACCATCAGGCGATCGCATTCTATTTCTACCAACGACGCAGAATTATTAACGCTCGGTGACGATGACCGACTACGCTCAGGCCACGGCGGCTGACCCGTCGTGGACGTGGTGGATGACCACGGCTGCGGCGGCCGTGCGCATGCGGAACCTCCAAAATCACCACCACCACCATGGAGACGTAAGCGGTGGCAGCGATCTGGACGACGAATACGCCGGGCCCGGAGGGAAGCGACAGCGAATCGGCGACGTCAAGGACGAGTATTGGCCGGTCACCTTGGACCGCAATGACCGCGGAGCACTGATTCTACGACATCGGCTGGAGACGCACGACACGTCGTCCGCGGGCCCGCTTGACTTGTCCGTGAAAGCCACACTGACGACGACAACGACGACGGATGCTCGCATAGTGGACGGACGAGTGGGAACCGACGGGTACCCAGCAGCCGTGACACCGGAGAAACGGCCAGTTGCCACTGCCGCGAGCGCCAACCGTGGTAAATCGTCCAAGAAATCGACGACCGGCGGTACGGCGACCGCGTCAACGGCGGTAAAAGCGGCTACTCGAAAACTTCTTCCACAACTCATGTTTGACCGCCGAGTTGACAGGTCGTCGCCGGTGTCCGGTACGATCATCGTACCTGCTCCTCCCGAAGAACCGATGGCAGCTGGCTGTAAACGGCTGACTTCGACATCGTCATCGCTGTCGTCGTCATCGTCTTTATCTTCGCCTCCATACCCGGCGACGGCCGACTGCGGTGGACAAGACGGTGACCCACGGGATGACGAATACGATGGTGGTGACATCGACCCCGAATTCAACATTGTCGTGGCCACCGACGAGGCCCGTCGTCGGATCGAGAGCATCCCCAACGCGCTGGGTCCATACCGGTGCCGGCTGTGCGGCGTTCGGTACGCCGACGCCTTCGCGCTGGCCCGTCATCGGTGCCGATGCATTGTACACGTCCGGTACACGTGTCCCGAGTGCGACAAGGTGTTTCAATGTCCAGCCAACTTGGCATCGCACCGTCGGTGGCACGGCACCGGGTCAGCTGTGAAAACGACCGGCGTCGGCGGTAATCGTAGCAAGAACGGCGATAATGGCGGTAAACCCGTCAATGGCACGTCCAATAATGTCAGCGACATTGCCGCAGCCATCGATGTCAACGACGGTGACTCTGCAGGCAGCGTAACGACGGCACCGATAACAACCGCGTCCGGATTCAAAAAGAACATGTTACAGCGTGCCGTGCAGGCAGCCGCGGCTGCCGCAGCTAATGACAACAACAACAATGACGACGATGGTGACAACAACGACAAGAACTTCAAGAACGACGACGGTGACATCGCCAAGTAACTCTTACATTGCTATTATAGGTATATGATATTTATTAAAATTGTATATATTTAGTAGGGTTATTTTTAATAGATATGTACACACATTGGTAATTTTATTTTTTGTGTAATTAATACACGCAAGTATTAATTGACCGCCGTCGTCCCCGCGCGCACCACTTTTGCCGCTCAACATCATCGAGCTGGAAGTAGTGTTCCAACCTACAGCTAATAGGGTTATAAACAGTCAACACAGCATATTTGTATTCAACAAAAGTTTTAAACAAGTAGATTATATTTAAATGAATTAACTCTGTTTTGATACAAAATGTCTACAAATCTATCGATAAAATAATAACAAAACTATCGAAATCCATTTTATCCTCAGTTTTATCTATATTTTATCAGTTCGGAATAATAAATAATACGTTTTGATTTTAATTATTAAATATAGGTACCAAATTTATGTATGGTGTAGTCATAGAAACATTCCTAGTCAGAAGTCCTAATATATTTCTAGTCATAAACAATTAAGTATAACATGTACTTATGCGATTGTATGAAAATATTTCTAGTCATCAATAGTTAAATATAAGATGTACCTATGAGGGTGTATGAAAATATTTCTAGTCATAAATAATTAAGTATAATATCATGTATGCGGTATGTATAAAAACAGATTTCTAGTCAGAAATAATTAAGTATAATATGTATCATTGTACCTACTTATGCGAGTGTATGAAAATATTTCTAGTCATAAATAGTTAAATATATGTACCTATGTGGGTGTATGAAAATATTTCTAGTCATAAATAATTAATTATATTATGTAGGTATGCGATATGTATAAAAATAGATTTCTAGTCATAAATAATTAAGTTTACTCATATGTTTATGCGATGTGTATGAAAATAATTCTAGTCATACACGCGTGTACTCATATATTATAATAAGCAGTATAATATAATAAACATTAAACGTGCAAAAAAAGTGTATAATATTGAATACTTACTTCAGTCTAACACAACAATAGTACTTTATAGTAATATTAACAGTCTAGTCCAACTCGAAAATTGTCTAGTCTGAATTCCTAAATTAATAACTTAACTCTAGTCTATTTTATTCATATTTAAATCATTAGTTACCTACTTACCTCTCTTATATTATATTACGCACGCACGCAATCAAACATTAAATCAAAAATCATCTTCTATTAACCCTTCCCCTCTATTTCTCTGAACAATCCGTTTCCTACCTTTTATAATATTTTTTAACTGTTTTTTTTTATCCATAATGAATTTAAGCTTAAACTTAAGTTGTCGTATACCATTCGGCGGTGGCGGGCATTCAAGTCGCCGAAGCCACTGCTGTATTCCAATAACAAAATACATAGTAATATTACGTAATATTAGGCTATAATTTTGAATCCTTCACCACCGAGTCGTATGCGAGACTATGGGACATAATGCGTCAGTATTTAGATTATATTTAATACCAACAACAATAATTATGTGGGTTGTGTTGAATTGTTATGACCTACTGTTATATAAGTTTATAGTTAACTGTTAAATATATTTCATAATTATATATAATACGTTATATATAAATTATATTAATGTATTATATAGTCATGTGTGGCAGTCGGTGGTTGTCAATTTACGAGTGTAGGTGTATATAATAATTTCGATTCGACTAAATTACGCCAGTGCCGCACTTTACATTTAATATATTCCTATAGGAATAGTGTATATATTACTGTAAAAATGTGTATAGGAAGTATTAATACATATTTATTCAATAATTATTATATATTATTATGATAAAAAAGCCTTCGAACGGCACGAGTATGTTCTAGTCATTTTCCCTCAGATATTATATATGTAGACCGATACCTATACATATATATTATATGTATAGGTACCTACGTCTTATAACCTTTTCCTCCCAAATAAATTTATACTATATTATAAGATTACGTTTTGTATATATTATCGTATTTTAAGCAGTAGATAGTAATAAAAAAAAATAATAAAAATATAAAATAATAAAAATATATCCATATCTATAATTTAAGAATTATTTTAGTTCTTTCAGTTTAGTCTAGTTGAAATAATTTATAAACTCTAGTCAAGACTAAAAAATGTAGTCAAAATTCAATATAGTCAATAACATAAATCTAGTCAAAATATATCTATGATCTAGTCAAGCTTAGTCAATGAAGTATATTATACTGTCGAAATAAAAATAATCTAGTCGAAATAAAATCTAGTCAAGCTAAGTCAATAAAGTACCTATATACCTACCTATTATATAGGTATATATTATTGTAGCCTAGTCACAATAAAATCTAGTCAAGCATTATGGGTTATACAAGGGATATCATATACATTCAAATACAGTTGAATAAAGAGTATATAAAAACCTAACTGAAACATAGTCTAGTCAAATCAGAATTCATCTAAGTCAAAAAATATAGCCTAGTCATGACTCTAGAGGGTTTTATACTATGTAGTTGACATATATTATATTATAAAGGTATGCGGTGCAGGAAATATAAATCATAGCTACCTCCCAACAAAATTAACCACTTCAAGGTTTACACAAAAGTAGTTGTCAAATACATATGTATAAGGATATATATTTTTAATTTTATAATGAAGAAATCTGAGTGGTTGTTTTAAAATGGGATATTTATATTAGTTGTGCCAATTCATCTAAAATCTAAATAGATAGGCATGACAGGTATGTTAACGAGTGGTAAATATAACAAGTCGGCGGGTGTATCGGGGTCATGATAAATAATATAATTATGTGTACAAAAAAAAAAAATCATAACTTTTAAATAATTAATAATAATATCAATGTGTCTACATATCTACGTATCTATTACATTATACGATAGTACCTATCCTAATAATCAATATGTTTAAGGTGTAGGTATAAATCATTATTCATTATTAAAAGTGAAAAAAATATATATATATATTATATTATTGTGCATGAAATACCATACCACAACAGAGTTTATTGATTATTTTAATGTTTTATCTATTTTATTATTATATTTATATTTGTATTATTCTATTATATATATGTAACAGAATTTATATTGGACATTCAAAACGAAAAACCATATGAATATAAGTACCAAATACTAAATAGTCCTATATTCTAGGTAATAGTACCTATATATTTAAAAAAATAGAACATATTATAATATATAGCAGTAATTATATTGATTAATTTCAAGTTTGTATCCGCAATTATACTGTCGATACTATATGATACTTAGTAATATATTTATTTTCATCATCCTGTATTATTTCTATTTTTCATTATAACACGAGTAAAAAAAAATACATTTTATTTTATTTTATATAATATATTATGAAACCGAAGTGTTAATAAATTTTTATTGATCATATTATATTTTATATTAACTACTATATGTCTATATTAATTATTTACTTATTATTAATTTTTAATTTTATCATAATCCAAATATATTTATATACATATATATAAATATAATTTTTTTATTTATTTTGTATTATTTTATCCTAAGGTTCAATAATATTTTTTATTTTTCATTTAAAACACATTATTGTTGCAAATCTTGCATCGTATATTTATTGTTAATATTTTTGCACAAATTATATCGTAGGTACGCGTATAAAAAAAATTTTTAAAACCACCACTATTATAACTATTAGGTAGGTATATATTAAGTAGGTACCTACTTACCAACATTATTATTTTATTATTTTATATTATTATATTATTATTATTATTATTATTATTATACGCGTATTTATAATTATATTTTATTTGAAATAAATACAGATATATATAATACGATTTGTAATTTGTTTCTCAATACCTACCATCATTGCGTAATATGCACATAGTATCAAAATCCACCACTACGTCCAAATATATAATACCTAGCCTGTATAGCCACTTAGGTATGTATAATGTAATGGTGTATCTTCTAATCGTGATAACCGTCCGCAGAGTACAAACTGCATACGTACCTACTCGTATATGGTAGTGCTGGTGGAATTTTAAATGTTGATACAGGTATCCGGTATTTGTTTACTATCGGCATCTAAGGTATTACTGGATATACTATTTTTTTGGTTATTACCGTAAATACCATACCTCAGCAATTACTGAAAATACTGGAGCTTCGATAATCACCAAAAATACCATACCTCGGTAATTACTAAAAATACCATACATCAGTAATTACTGAAAAGTGATTTGTTTTGATAAAGATAATAATTGTCATTTATACCGTTTCTTCTTCTTCTTTTTCCTCTAGCATTTAATACTCTTGGAGTTTTCCCCTCCATCCAGTGGCGTATTTACGGGGGGGGTCCCGGGTCTCGACCCCCCCCCCAGAAAAAAATATAATATAACATAATTATTACATCATAACTCGATTGTGTTTTTTTATATTATAAACTTGTAGGTACCTAATATTTAGACCCCCCACAAAAAATTTGAAAATACGCCACTGCCTCCATCACTATGGTCTCTTTAACTCTTTCCGTTTCTCTCGATACTTAGCTATTTATCTCCATTCCTGTTCTCCCATCATGTTAAAGACCTCTTCCAGAGTATCCTGCAGCCATCTTTTCCTAGGTCGTCCTCTAGGTCTTCTTCCCGCCGGTTTTCACTCTAGAACTCCTCTGCTTACATCATCCTTGTTTCTTCTCATCACGTGTCCCAAACACTGAAGTCATTGTCCTTTTATGAAGCTGATAACTGATGTTATTCCCATTTTTTCTTATATTGTTATTCTCCGTTAAATTGTTTACTCTACATTCTTTTTTTCTTGCCATACATTGGTCCACATATTATTATATCCTCCATATTTTATATCCAAATGTCTTTGTCTTCTCCCACGGTGATACTGGTGGTAGTACATGATTCACAGCCATAGGTAAGACTGTAAGAGTATATATTATTACTACCATATATAACCTTGCTATGGTTTTATAGAGAATAATTTTGATT